AGGAGACGACCACACACACAGCAATGTGGCAACTCGGGACATTGGTTGAGACCGCGCTTTGCTCAAAGTAAGTTACATCAAGCCCTGGCAAATGTGCCAGTTCGATTTTGTTATATAGTGACGTGCTGAAATCAGAGTTGGGTGTCCAATGTGCCGGAAGGGGGAACTTTCTCATGAGGCTAAGACATGCTTGCGCCACCTCCATTTCCGTGCCGCAGACCTGAGGTCCGCTGATAGCATCCAAATCCTCAGCTGCAGGCTGCACATGACATGTATTGCTTCTTCAATTTGGGATTTCTGGCCTTTAGGTTGGAAAGAGCCCTGTCACCGTGCCCAAGCTGCTTCATTCAAAGTAAACTTCCTGTAGTAACCCTCTGGCCGAAAAGATGACAGCACATGCTTCAACGAAAGGGCCCTGGAGATCTATGGAATGACAATGGACTGGAACGTTTTTGCACCGATGCCTGCATCCGCCATGCCTCAGGATGCATGCCGTCTCTAAATGCGCGTTCGCCGAAAAGCCTTCTAATGAGATTTACTTCCATGCCACGGAAATCTTTGTGGGAAATGGCCAAAAGGCTATAGCACCACCAGAAGCACTACCCTGAATCCATTTAAGACTAAACCATGGCAGTTGTTGCTCTAAGGCCCTTCCTGGGAGGCATTCATCAGGCAGCCCTCGATCTACAATCTACACTTGCCGGGTTCCATTGCTCTCGGGAACAGCAGCCAAACTGGAACATCTTCAACTTTGCCCGGCCAGGACAAGTCCACAGAAAGGTGCCCGCAAAGGAAAGTTGGCCCTTGCTGCCAAAACTCCCAGATATTTCCCAACAAGCTCCAAACGTACAACCCGGGAACTGCAGACCCCAAGCTTTCATACCCGCCCAGTAATTCCAGGAGTCTGGTCTGGGTGTGGCCCGGATCCCCAGCAGCCAGCACTCCTTGCTCTTCACGTAGAATGTGAAGCTTTCCTTGGCAGCAGGAGGGTGTTGGCGTTGGACACTCAGAAGCTGGGGCGAGCAGGTCGCATGAAGTAGAAGCGATTTGCCAGTTCGAGATGGGGGCACACTTGCAGCCAAGGACTTGCATCTGACGCATGAAGGAACAGGCCTGCTTTGGCGTAAGCACCATGTGTTCAAGAATCAAGGAGACATCCGACCTCCTTCTGCTGGACAACATTTGGACCACTGTCTAAAACTCTCTTGATGCTGTACCCTGTACATTCCTGAATCTGCCCTCTTTCAGGTGATCTTTAAAAGCTTTGCAATGGCCAGCCAGCCCCTCATAACGGAAGACGGATCATGCAGTTCGACATTGCGGGCTAGCCCCGCTGTCTAATCTTCAAACAGAACCACCAACCCCCAAAGCCAACGCAAACCTGAACTGTAGACCACTGCCGGCTTCAAAAAGCAACAAAAAATCTCACAGCCCAAAACCTTGCAGTGCTCACCTGCCGAGGTACGCAAAACCAGGATAAGCTGCACGACACTTGGCAGTGCTCCGGATTGTCCACAATCTGAGCATAGCAGGTTGCTGTCTCGCACAAAAAAATCTGAAAACTTGCTGCTGCTGCTGCTGGGCTGGCCAACCAGGATACATGCTGATCAGTTCATTGCAAGGCTCTGAGGTTTAGGGTATGGCCCCTGTCGAGGTCCCTACTATCCCGCTTAATTGAAAAGATGAGGGTCGGCTGAAAGGATTGGATCACGCCTAGGTGAACATTGGTCAGAAACTGGGCTGCAGCTAATCAAGCCAATCTGCTGATGAAAGCCAAATTCCAAAGTTCCATGTGATCTTAGATCCGTGTAGAACCGAAGTCCGTTCAACAGTTCTTAACATTAAGAAGGCCACAACGCGTGCTTCGGCATTACATGTTGAATGCCGACCCAGCCAAGGAGCTCCTCCGTTGAGGGTGGGGTGGTCCGGATCACTGTACGCAGTCTGGGCTCTAGCGCAGTCCTTGTGTGTTATTACAGGGAACAAACTCACCTAACGTCTTTGATCTCCAGAAGGCAGAGAATGAGTAGAGCAACCCATGATAGGACTTGTCGCCGGATCGGATGTCACATGGAGGGCTCAAAGCAGACAACATGATGACAAATGAGGTTCAGCACTATGCTGTAAGTACCCGCTTGCTGGCACTACACTAACTGGAGCTTTCTGCTTGGAGATCAAACGAAAACCATGACACTTTAGGCAGCCAGAGCACTAGCCTTAATCGATACATGATGACACATGTTAGAACTGACTGTTGACAAAAGCACTCGGAAACCTAGGAACTGCGGCTCTTCGCCCAATACATGATTTCCATAGTCGTACTTGTAACCTAGACGGAGCAAGGGAGCCTAAAGTGGAGCCTGTATGAGACGGATTCCTGAATAGGCGCACTTGGAGGGTCAGGGGTGCTTATTAAGTAGGCGAATAACCCCTATAATCCATGTGTAGCAACCCTAGTTATCCCTATTATTCACCTACTCATTAAGTCCCCCTAACTATAAGCCTTAAGCCCTAAACCCTAAACCCAAATCATAAGGCTCTAGGGTACCTGAAGCCTTAGAGGCAAACCTTCGACGCCAAGAGGCTGGGGTCCACTTGGAGGCCGGCGCTGCTCCGAGCAGCTGAGCAGAGCCCGCCGGCGTGAACTCTTGGTGTGGCATGCCTGGAACAGGCCGCTTTTCATACCGTATCATATAAGGTGTAGGGTTTGGGGTATATATATATTTGATTTAGAGGTTCGGGGTTAGTAGGGAACAGTAGGGAACACATCACCGGTCCAATAGTTTCGACTTACGGGGCCATTTCTACAGACCTCCTACGTGTCTTGCGGAGTCGCGTGGTCCCTTGAAGTCGCATTCCCTTGGCCCTGCAAGGAGTCGCCCCTACGCCGTTTTAGATGTATAATACTCTACAGCTCCGGAGGAGGCCGTAGGACGCCAGTGTAGGAGTCTGGGGGGCCCAAGCTAGAGCTGAAGAGACCCATCTTCGCGCAAGTCGTTCTGTGAGTCGAGCTTGTGTAGCACCGCAGTATTTTGGGGTTGTTTAGGGCTAATGGAAAAGAAAATGGAAACTACTGCAGTAAAATAGGGTATATATTGGGATTAGTAGCAAATACTATGCAAATCTTATATGAGCATTACATTGCCCTGTTCCCTGCTAACCACCAGCAAGTGTTCGTGATTGCCAGAGCAATTCACGGGGATCAAATTACAGATGCCTCGATTCTGGGGGCCATCCTTGAACCTTGATAAGACATTTCAGGCCGCGGGTCAACTTGCAATTGCTGGCTGATGGCATCCATATCCCTGCCAGACCTACCATGTCATGACATGTCCTACAGTGCAACCTCCAGGCCAAGACAAAACCAAAGAGAAAGGACCGTCCAGAATTGTGACAGCCAGACTGGAGGTGATGACAGCACACGGCATATAGGCGCACAATTGCATCACGCCGTAGTGTCTGACCCATGACACACTTGGCTACTGCTAATGGTTTCGCGTGTTGGCACGACGTCGTGGAAATAATCGATATGCTGGGAAGAGACGTGGGACACCATTTATTTGCGGCATCAATCACTCATGTGCCGCTTTGGCGCACATTCTGCATTGGGCGTCCCTGCTTCATTTGAACAAGGGGCACATGATCCAGCAGGCCCTTGCACTATGTGAACATGAATGCTCTGAAGTTCTGGCTAACATCACCCGCAAGTTGCCCAGACTGTTTGACTCGTCTTTGCTACACCACCCAGAATTCCGTGCCTCTCTTCTGAGCACAAATTTCCCAAGGGCATGCCATGAACAAATTTGGAGTCCTTTGGTCGATGCTGCTGCTTTGGCCCCTTGGCAGGGATTCCTGCTGCCAAGTTGCTGCTCAACGCTTGCCACGGTTGGAAAGCCACCTGCTTGGTAGCACAAGGATGTGGGGAACTCTCTGAAATTATGATGAGCCTCCTCGCATATACAGGCATTCTGTTCTGTAGCAGCCGCTGCTTTCGTCAAGTTTGTGGGGATGAAGGGGGCCAAGGCCCCACATTGCCAGAGCCTATGACTCTGTATGGCTGCACTGGTACATTGTACCAAAATGTACAAAGGCATAAAGTACGCAATGCTTGCTGGCTTCATTGCACCTTGATGAGCAACTTTGAGCTCCAGCAAGCGTGCTCGTGTGCTGCTTCAAGATTTTTCAGGGTTTAGGTTTAGGAGGGGGGCGGTAGAGTACAGGATTTAGGATTTAGGGTTTAAGGTTTAGGGCTGTGCTGAAACCTGTGTAGCGAAGATTAAGTCTACCATCCCATGCGGCCAGCTTACGCAGAGTCACAGATCCACGTGGGCATTTCCAAAAATGGGCGTCCCCGCCATCTACCCTCCAAATTACAATGCTCCCCATAAATTACAAGGCCTCATGACACGAAGGAACCTTACATGTGGGAAACCCTCTATGGTCCCTATAAACTGTCATATACTTCCAGGCTCCATGTCATTTTCCATCTTATTTCTATTTGGTTCTCCATTACTGAGGACCCTAAGTCCAGATTTTGACAACCACCAGGTCGACCTTATTGGAGCTCGACGATACCACCGGCATCTTCTCTAGGAGCTGTCTAAGGATAATGGCCTAAGGATATGTCATACGTATATCTCCGCATGGGGGTGGGGTCCAAGATTTAGGGGTCCCCTATGTGGGGCCCCTTCGAATAATCAAACTAGTATAATATTAAACCCTAAACGCTACACCCTGATAGGTCATAATATTGTGGATAATGAGAATCCGCATTTTTGGAGACCACCGTGTGAGCTAGACTCTAAACTCCTAGCATCCCCCTTAGCAACCCTGTACTGCTCCTCTATATTACATATCCCCTATGCAACCCCGTTTATTCTAAGGAGTCTAAACCCTAAACCCAAATCCTAAACCCTAAATCCTAAACCCTCATCTCCCGTATAACACCCCTGTCAAGGAGTTTAGACTATAGCTCCTGCAGGATCCCCTGGACGAGATGCATCTGCGCGCTTGCCGGTCTCGCCAACCAGATCTTTCACCTGAACAGCGCGGTTTAGGGTTTGCCGCTATAGCAAGGTTCATTCAGGTACAATCGGCAACTAAGGCGTAGAATTGCAAAACCACTAAGCGTTGAGGGTTGAGGGTTTAGGTGGAATGGGCCACAAGCAGGATGATCCATGCACTTCATCTATCGTTTCCTTAATCGGACACCCAACATGTACACCCACCAATATACCCAAAGACACCAATAATTCAACACTCAACCCGTAACCATAATAAATCCACGTATTTCGTCTTAAGCCCCTACATAATTCTGGCTTCTATTACATCTTCCATGTGATTCTCCATTATCAGGGATATAGTCGCCCTTAAGTAAATAGAATATGGCTTTGGGTACATTATAATAAGATCCCCATATACTCCACATTCCATCTACCTAAGAGGGACTATATCCTAAACCATAAAGCCTAAACCCTATATTCTATCTACTAAAGGGGGACTATAATCCAAAACCCCTACATCAGCGGTTCATCCCAAGCCTGCTTGTAGGCAACATCAGCCTCTTGCTGTTGCTGCTCCAGGCTCAAGCCAACCTTGACGAAGGCAAGCTATCGGCGTTTTGAAAGTGTTACCCTAAACCGTAAACCCTAAAGCGTAGGGCTTGGCATACGTGGAGGGAGGTGGGGCCCTTCTGAAGATCGCTTGTCTTTGGGACTCTGTGGCTATGAGTTTTCAGACCTGGGTTCCGGGCTGAGGGTGTAGGCTTTAGGGTGTAAGGTTGAGGGCTTAATTTGTTGGACGGGTAAGTGCATCCTGCAACGGCCTGCTCGACTGGCTAGCTAGGTGAGTAGCTTCCATGATTTATGGTAGGTATGTAGCACGTAATGCCAAATATAACTGCCGGGGCACAAGCTTGGCCACCTCACGTGCGGCGTCCGATGCTGTCTCAGCCTGCACGCTGGAAGAGTGGCCTCAACATTGGCTGCAGTCTACTTGGTTGCTGTTGAGGAATTTGATTTAAGTTACTATTTTTGGGGAACCATAACAATTACTGTATATACCCATCATGGTAACCTAACTTAGGTTCCTTAACAGGAACCCAGTCTACGTAAGTGATCTCTACTGCACGCAGGAAGTCTGCAGGCCTCTGCAACTTGCAGCAGAAAACCTGCGCTCCTATGGCATGAACATAAGCCCATACTGTAAGCATGTCACCATCTCGCTGCTTTTGTCTATGCACCTTAGCCCACATAGAATTACATCGAATACGGCATACTGAGGCTCGTTGTCTTACAACAGCTCTTGACAGAAGATCTCCCAGATGCAAGAAACTTCCGGAGTAGTACATCGATTTGCTTCACGTGCATTCTCGTTGAGGCCGTCTGCGCACGCTTCTAGAAGACCTTTGGCCTCAATCGCATCGTCTCCCAGAAAGCCCTCTTCTTATTATGCCAAGGTCCTTCAGTCCCAGCCTGCGATGCCCTGATTTCCATGGGCTTCTAAGGCCGGCGCCTTGCTGCCTCATCCCATCCGAAGCCACGGCAATAGCCACGTCCAGCGCGATACACACTTGCCGGGTTTCGTTCTGGCCGGCGCCCTGCACAGCACAACAGCTAGCACCTCTGAAAGTATATCCAGCCAACTGAATGTAAATCCAGCCAGAGATCCCAAGAGCCACCATCAGCATCACCATGGCCATCAGCATCATCATTATCATCAGCAGCACGCTAACGCTAGGGAAAAGGTGCTCAGGAGCAGGAGCAACCTAATATCTCCGCTGCGTAGTAAAGCAGGGTAGGCAACTGGTGTTTGGCACTAAAGCCAATAAAGGTACAGCTGTGAGTAGTACATCACTCCCCAGCAAGAAGGAGTTACCTGAGCAATATTCACGTGGCCGTGCAACTGAGCTTTCTCGCGCAGCCGCCTCCCAAATATTGCGAATCCAGAGGGTCCAAAGATATCATCCTTAACCGTACTAGCCGCACTAGCCGTACTAGAGCAGGACTTTTGAGCCCCATGGCCGGAATACTTGTATGTGTGGACCCTCTGGGACACTGAAACCCCAAACCCTAAACCTTACCCTAAACCCAAATGATAGGGCTTTGAGGCCCAAATACTCTAATATTGATGGGATTTAGGCCTATAATTTGGGTCCTCGGACCCTTATGGTTAACCACGCTTTTTGAAGCAATTGACCGCTTTTGCATCCCAGTCGCTGCGGCAGCGGCCTTTGCGGCCGCGGCTGCCGCAACCGCCTGTCATTCAACAAAGGGTCCATGTAGGTTCTATCTATGTATATGTATGTACATATATACATACCTATATGTATTCAGGGGCTTGCATTTTTATATATGTATGCATCATCATCTATCTACAGATATGTGAACATACATGTCTTTACGAATATAGCTATATGTATACATACATAGCATGAATGGTCCAGAGTCATGCAGCTAGCTCAAGGTGAATGAGCTTGTCGGTGAGTCTAGTAGATGGCCTGAGCTTTTTGAGTTTTAGGCCTTACGCTTTAGAGCTTCAGGCTTTGGAGCCCTTTTGTGGGTACTGTCACGAATGGCGCGGCAAGATGTGAGAACACTTTGAAGACGATGAATCCGGACCAGGGTAGGAAATGCAATCTAGCAGCTAGCAAGCTTCAACATAAACTGTCAGCCTTCTGAAGGTGCGCCATCATCAATACTTACGCTAGAACCTAACTCGGCCAAGAAAGGCTTTTCCTAAAAGCCCTTCCAAAGCTAAAGAGCTTTTACCCTTTGAAGTTGAAAGCTTCGGAACCCACATAAAACTGTCCAAAATCCTTCTATGGTACATGACCCACGTGAGTAGTTATCAGAATACGCCCTACATATGCCTTAACCGGCCCCCTCAATCCTCCTACATTCAATTCATATCCTCGGGATCCCTGGAGTCCGAACCCCTACACCTCACATATCCCCATCCTTATGGCGCCCTCACCTTCCGAAATCCCCATGTTGCTCTGAATCCTTAACCCTACACCCGTGTTGCTTTCAGAGATCCCCATGACGCGGCTGCAGAAGGCCTGTTCCACAGGGGTCTTCCCTTTGCGTCTCATGGAGGCGACCATGTACGAAGAGGCGGCCGACACCGCAGCGATAGCCTGCTTCTCCACGTTTAGACCTGGAAGTGATGAAGTTGACCCTTGCTGCTTGCTTTAGGGATTACCCTGAGGGTCCAATCTACAACAACCATACATTTTGGGATCCTGTTACTTGAAATCGCTAAAGTAGGGTGGTACAAGATCATTTGATGATGCAGAGTAATGGGGCATCGAGTGGAAGACAATATGATGACCCGGATACAGGGGCTGTAGTGGGATTTGAAATTTTTCAGTCAGGCAACCGAACCAGATCCTTGTTGAGCAGCTTAGTTCTGACAGCGTAAGATGGTACCATGGCAGGCTACACCCAGCAGTCGAAAGCGCGTGACGTCTTACTTCGTAACTATCTGCCAAAAAGCAGACTCGAATCCTATTGCCGAGACATGCCGACACTGTGAACAATGAGATTGGCACCCTTTTCATGCATGAAACTGCTTGGAGGGAACCGCTGGATCAAGGCAGGCCATGAGAAATCGATGTAAGCTCAAAACGCTAAGCCTCAACTTATAAATCGTACACTCATTTCCTGCAAACGCTACCTTGAGTGTTTCATGTGTAGTGCACGGGCGAAACCTTTCCCTAAGGGTCCAAGTACCCCAAAATTGGGGGAACCCTTAGGGTTTGAGGAAAACCCAAAACCCCAAAACCCTGAACTCTGAGAAGGGGCTTGGAACCTACTATTGGGCTACTTGGACCCTTAGGGTTTGAGGAGAACCCTAAGTCCCAAAACCCTGAACTCTGGGGAGGGGCTTGGGATTTCTGACGTCGAGGGGCCAAGCTTCGCCAGCGCCTTCTGCGCTGCGGCGGCGGCCTCTTGGGCACAGCGCGTGAGAGGCAGGTGGAGCTCCTGGACGCGGGCTTCAGGGTTTAGGGTTTTGGGCTTTAGGGTTTAAGGTCTAAGGTTGAATTCTATGTGGTTATTAGTATTGGTAATCGTATTACTATAACTACCATAACTATTACTATAACTACTTTATAAGGGTTTCTGGAGCCGAGGAACTTTGGGATGCATAGGGCTTATGGAATCAGATATGGGGATTAACAACTTGGGAGAAAGGAGGCTATGAGGTTCGAAGTCAGAACCCATCCTAGAGGGTTTAAGGTTTAGGGCTTAGGGTTAAAGATGTAGCTGTGATTTCAGCGCTAAGGCTTGAAAGGTTTAAGCTTAAGGGCCCGCAGAAAGTGAACACGTTCAACGTTTTCTTACTGGGGGCTTGATACTGATCCTATATAATAATTATATTGTTCTAAACACAGTAAGGTTTTGTTGCAGCCTGAGCTTGATTTTGACGGGGCAGTTGAACTTTCAAACGTCGCGGGATCGGCGCCTGTACAAGATTCAAGGTGTTCGCGCTTCTGCAAGTAAGTGTCAACGGGTCTCATACCCTCAGCCTTTCCCTCCAAGAATTGCTGCATGAGGTTGCAGGCCCGAGGATTAGCCTGGACCTTCATTACAAGACAGGTCGTTTCACATAAAAGGAGCTATAATGAGCCACCTTGCAGGCACCAGGTACTTAGAGCAAAAATCTTTCATCGATTTGCGGGGAATTTGGGCTACTGGCTAAGCGCTTGGATGATAAACGAAGCCTGTGCCAATCCTGAGCTCAACCCAAAACCCCAAACTCTGCGAGGTTTGGCTAAGACATGCCTGCTGCTTGCCCGAACCTAGACAACAGCAAACCCAAATTCTGCGGATCGACATGCCCTTCCCAAATTTGGTAGAACTGTAGAAACAAGCCTATGGAGACTGCTGTGTTGTCCTTGTAAACGGAGACTCTATTATTGTAGGCTTTCTAAGTCTTCGTGAAGGGCGCATGGGGTGTTGCTTCCTGCTTAGTGTCTTTGGGTTCATAACTCCAGGTATTCGGAAGCAGGCCAAAACTACTTCACAAAGATACTTAGATCTAAAGTTCTATATCAGAGAAGAAAAAACATGGGGGGTCTACAACAATTGTGTGTCTCTGTTCCTCATTGTTATGAGAGTTATAAGATATTGGTGTTTATGTTGGGGTTTCTCTGTACTTATGGAAACTACCACGTATTTCACTCCAGATGACTCTAATATGATATACCTACTGCAAAGCCGCTCAGATGACGCCTGGCATGGAAGGGGTGCGGCTGATTTACATCCTGAGAAGCACAGTGGTCCAGTTTCTCTATATTCCCACACTGACTCAATAGATGTCACACGGAATTTTCCCAACAGAGCACAGGCAGGTGCGTAGGCTGACCATTCAAGAATCAAATCACAAGAACACCCAGAAAACCATCCCCGTCAAGTCAAAGATGGGACGCCTAGCCTACCCCGCAAGACTGCCACCAGCGAAACACCTCCAGACCCAACTATGGAAGAACTCATATGGCTTTTGGAAGTAAATGCGGAGACCCAGTGTAGACCCCCAAACTAGCAGTTCTTATCCTGGGGGCCCTGATTTTCGGACTCCCCCCTACATGGCAGTTTCCCTAAATAGGGGGGCCGCAATGTACACACAAATATGATATAATCCCTGTTATGCGAACCCCAAAAATGGTACCCCTAATTTTGGGAAACCCCAACCCTATATGTCCCTGTATAATCCCTAAAACCCCCATAATGGTACCCTATTTTTTTTCGGAAACCTTCACATACCTAGGGATGGACTCGGTCAGAAGGCCTGGGTGGCACTACTGGCCGCTATGGCAGCAGATTTGGCCGCCAGACGATGCTGGTCCTGCTTCTACCAGTTCTACCTTTAAATGGGGGTATATGGTTTCCAATAGTGGGTATTTAGGGTATATAGAGGGTAGAAGGAGGATCTAGGTACATGAGGTTCTTTCAGAAAATGAGGTTTGCGG